TTAGACGTATAATTTAAAAGTCATTTCAGGTGTGCAAGTTAGGTGAATCATCTTGTATTTATATTATGTATATTACTAAATACATGTCGTTATGTACAATTTTGCATTTTAAAATTTTCTGTGAATGCATAAAAATTTACAAATAATATAATTACTAATAATGGAAAGATGAAATTTCTTCAAAATTTCTTTTTGTGAATGGATTGATGACTGAGCATTCTCTTTCAAATAACTTTTTAAAACTTGACGATTTTGTACGATTTTTTGTCATCGTTTTATTAAATTTTGAAATTTCGTCGTCTTAGACGAAAATTCAAGAACACGGAATTCTTCAAGATTTCAAACAATTTTCCAATGTTCTTAAAAATAATTGAATTTATAGCATTTTCGAGAAAAGTACTTTCGTTTCTCCACTTGCTTCTCTTCATTTTTTATTTTTCAAAAAACATCTTCGAAAAAAATGAATCCAGAATAGTGAAAATGGAGGCTTTACGCTTCAAAAAATCCGAGTGAATTGTCGCGCGATTCTTTTTCTCATGACGCGACAACAGCTCTAATATTAATAATTTTAGCAAAGATCAAAAATTTAGCGTTCGAGTATCTGAAAGAAATGTTATTATTTAATTGCATTCGTGCAATTTGGCAATTTAAAATTTTTCACGCGTAAAGATTCGCAGTCCAACGACAGCATATTTAACCACTTGAGCTGGCAACTGATTGCGGACCATAACGAGTAACCAAATCGTATACGATGATTCGTCGCTTTCTTTTTGAACACGGTACAATATCACTGGATAGAAATTATTGGAGAAGTAATAAATTTATTATTTGTTTTGCCTGGGTTATATTTAAATATACTTAAAACTGAGAAAATATTGCAACTTTGGGACAAAAAAATTCCCGACGTGCGTTAAGGGTTAAAGTATTTTCAGAAACGTACCGTGCAATCACAACGAAACTTTGCTTATTCGGCAAACTTCTGTTTCAGCAATCATAACTAATGCCTGCAGGCGCAGTGGCAGCGAAAACGACACCCAAGTATCGAGGATTCCGTCGACCTTGAGCGTGGCAGCCGTCGATGTTGTCGTTGCCTGTCAGCCGTCACCGTCGCATTCCATTTTAACCTTGACACCTGGTAGAACACGAAACATCGATCAGGATATGGAGGCGCTTAGGCTAAGTCGACAGGATAATCCTTTCCTACAGGTTCGAATCGATAAGCCTTCTTGTTACTCGTTTATAAACGGGGGCGAACAACAAAGACAGCGAAGATGGCGGAATGATTTCAGAGTGACTGAGCCGCTTTCTACCTTCCGAGATAAGAAAATGGAAGAGAGACTTCGAACGATTTAAATATCAGCGTTTGGAAGTTGCGAGAAATTTAATTGTTTTATGAGAGTAGAGTTTGATAGGTCGATGATAACTCTGGTAGTTTCGTTGAAAGTTGGATAACTACTATTGAAAGTTAAAAAAGGAAAAGATTCTGTGATTCGAAAATTAATAATAATTAATATTTAATTAGTTAATAAGAATTGGAATAATTGGAAATTTTTTCCTTTAATCAAGGTTTGACTAAAATTGAAATTATCGCAGAATTTTTATATAATTATGTGGTTGGAAATAGGTTCGGCGGTTTCATTGACAAGTTGAATAATTATTATTGGAAATTCCAAGGAAACTCATTATTTTCTTTCTTTATTCTTTTATGGTTTAACTGAAATTGAAATCGTCGTGGAATTTTTTCTTAATTATGAAGGAAAATCGATTCATTAAATAATTAGTATCGGAAGTTTAAAAAGAAAATCTATGATTGAAAATGATTAGACGTTAGAAATTTTTTCCTTTATGATTCAACTAAAATTAAAATGATCATAGAATTCTTTTTTTTTACATTTATAGTTGAAAATCTGTTTCGGTGTCTGTTTTAGTATTAAAAACTATAAGGAAATTTATGATCAGAGAATTTTTTACTTTGTCCTTTCATGGTTCAACTAAATACAAAATGATCGTAAAACTTTTTTACAATTTATATTTCATAATGTCGTAATAGAAAATTTATTTGGTGGTTTCACTGAAAATTGAACAATCAATATTGGAAATATTAAGATAATATATTAATGATTGAAAGTGAATCTTTTTTTTTGTCTTTTGTCGACTTAACAAAAATTGAAATATTGAATATGAATAATAGTATCGCAACTACGATAATTCTCATTAAAGAAAAGAAAACAAAAAAAAAAAAAAAAGAAAAGAAAGAAAATAATGGAGAGTGATATTCCACGAATCAGTAGTCTCGTACGGTCATTCACGGTTTGAAATATGCCTTCGTTATTTCATTAGGGCGGCTTGCACGCCATCAACATAATTCATTCCTTCCAACGGTATACTTACCGCGCATAGTGACTCACAATTTCGTTCAAACAAAACTCATACATTCATTCATCTAGGGCTTGTTCCACATGCTAAGAACATAAATAACTCGGATGATGACGAGTTTGCTAACGATTTATGAATATTTACAATTATTCACTATTTAAAGTTTGGTTCCCTTACGAAGTAGTAGATTTTTAGTTAAAAATTTAAAATTAAATCTATATCTCTCAATTCTTACTTCTAATGATTTTAATTTCCAAAATTTAATTGCCTGTATCAGTCTGAAATTAATTTTACCTCGGCTTAAAATTAATTTTAATCTGATTACACGCATAGAACAGTGAGAGGTATGTTCTGTAAAAACAATTCATCCAGAGATAAAGCTCATTAACCCATTCAATCATTACGTACCACTTTCTTTCTCTATTTATATCCAAAGAAGAGAAAAAAAAAACCTATACCCTCTGTCCCAGTTTTCTGCACCACTCCACATTCAACAATATTATTAGTATATACACATATTTTGAACGCAATGATTCTAATAATCGGACTGCACTCGCGTTTCCACCAATAAGAGAGTCAAAGAATACACTCACGTATGCATGGTAGATAGTGTATAAATAAATTCTCCGTACGAACAATAACGTTTGTCCTCGTCCAATATTACAACAGAGAGATTAATTCAGTTGAAGTATAGAGATGTATTACTTCTTGTTCTTTGAATTTCTTCTTATCATTGTATTTTTAGATACATATATATTCAGACAATTTCCCTCAGAGAGGAGTTTTAATATGAAAAATGGGCATTTATTCGTTCATTTCAAAAATCTTTATTTATTTATTTGTTTGTTTATTTTGGAAGGTTTATTATATCGATATAAAAATTGAAAAATTGATCAATTGAAAGACTCCAGGCGAGGCTGCGGGAAAAGGTTTCAGATTTTAAACCTTGAAACTTTTACCTGGTCATTTTTTTCCATTTTTAGTGTTTCCTTTTTAATATCATTTCCATGATATTGTATTTCATATTCTATGATTATTAACCATATTTTATATTCTTTTATATGATAAGTTTTATCACAATATAAATATTAGATTTCAAAAAATTTTAAATCTCCCTTTTTCTATCATGTTCTAAGATATATTGAGGATGAAACAAATGATCCTACAAGTGACAAAAATTTTTCTATACATAAAAAAATGTTAAATAAGATAAATAATTAGAAAATTTAGTATAAAATAAAAATTTCGTTGTAACACAATATTTTATTCACATTAGCATAGAATGATAATTAATATATGAACCCTTTAAGGGCTCATAGTTTTAAGAAACTGTCATCAAGCAAACTTTTTCCAAACAGCTTCTTTCATTTTTTTATTATACTGTAACTTTTTTTTATTTTATTATTCTCCAAATATTTATAAATTTATATAAAATACTATTTTTTTTTTGCAATCTTATCTTAAGCGATTAATAATACAACACCATATAATTTCATATCTTCTATTCTAATTAGACATTTTAAATATTAGAAATTCAATTTTCAAATCCATGATAAATCGTTGACAAAAAAATTTGTAGCGTTTTCGAGAAGAGAAGTGTCTTTACTTTCCCATCTATTCTGATGTAAAATCCTCAAAATAAAATGAATGATGTACTTTGAAAGTAGAGATTTCGGACTTTTGAAACGAGCCCAAGTTGATCGTTGTAAGATTTCTTTTTACGAAATTATAATTATTCAATTAATTGTTAAATAAATATATCATAGCAGTTTAAATATCGACAATTTTTCGAACATTGGGAATTTAGTGTTCGAACAGTGGGAATTTAGTGTTCGAACAGTTTCACGAACGACCTATTTAGTGTGCAACGATCAAGCAAATTTTACACGTTCGTAGATAAAGGATAACGCAATTTTGGCGAGTTTTCTTCTGCTCACAATTAGTAATACATATAAATAAATTTACAACACGTTAAATTTATAAACACGTTCGTTTCCTATGCTTTTCGAAGTTCGTTCATCTCTGACGAGCAATGATATTTTATTCCACTTATAACTCGTGTTTCCTCGAACGAATTTCGAAAATTCCTCTCTATCTACGAGCAATGATATTATATCTTATTCGACGTAGGTCAACGATGAATTCTCGTTTTTTGCAGGTACTGGCGAGCCGTGAGAGTCTGGTCGAGTCCCTGGAAGAGTCCGAGTCCGATGACGCCATCCTGATGTCTCAGGTGAGCGAGTTTTTTTCGTTCGTTCGCCTTTGTCTTCATCCGTAGAAGCGTAAAAGGAGGATCGATCGGTTGGCCAGGTTACATTATTAATGGTAGCGTGAACTTGATGGCAAGGGCGAGCGATAGAAGAGAAAAAGGTACCTCAACTAAGGACGATACGTCTTTTCTGGCGCGGTATGATGGTCTTATAGAATAGGTCGTTACCATTTTAGGATATGTCATGGATAGACAAAGGACACAGGTTATTCGGGAAATATTTTTAGTTATTATCTATCTGTCGTTTCGATATCTCAATGTCACTGTTCGATTTTTAGACGGTTCTTGTTCTATTTGGGCTGTGGCGTGCTAAAGAGTGAGTGGACTGTAGGCATTGATGCCATATTCAGAAATAGCAGCTGAATGCAGATTCGTTGCACTTACTAAATATAGTAAAGAGTAATTTATATATCTTATATATATATATAAAATTTATCTATATATCTATATAATATATATAATTTATCTATATATATCTATATATATATATAATTTATCTATATATATCTATATATATATATATAATTTATCTATATATATCTATATATATATATATAATTTATCTATATATATCTATATATAATTTATCTATATATCTATTACCTAAATTATATCTATATATATAATTTATCTATATGTCTATTATCTAAATTATATCTATATAACATATATAATTTATCTATCTATATATATATATATATATATCTTTATATATATAATATATATAATTTATACTTTATAGTATAAATATTAATAGTATAAATTATACATATATATATAATTTATACTTTATATAATTATAATTTATCTATATATCTATTATCTAAATTATATCTATATAATATATATAATTTATCTATATATATCTATATATATATCTTTATATATATAATATATATAATTTATAATTTATATATCTTATATTTTATATAACTTGTGTCTGTAGACAAATGTAATAACTGTGCCGTAGTCGCAGAATAAGAAATAATAAATATAAATCTTGAGAAGTCAGTTATTTCTATCAAAATCAAACAACAAATAAAGATCCTCGCTAATAGTTTAATCATTTGTTTCACGAAATAGCAAATCGTTGAATTGGAAATAAATTAACTTAATTTTCATATGAAATACTTAATAACATAATTTCGTTATTTTACAAATAGATTATTTCTGAAGTAACTTTGAAAAGTGATTTGAAAATATTTCAAAACACCTAGATCTAATGTCAACCGTTTCCAAAAGGATTAATAAACACTAATAATAAGAGCCGTTGCTCTTGGTCAAATAGATCTAAAAATAGGATAATGAATTTCTTCATGCGGACAAAAAGTCTAAAAAACTCGTCCTTCTTCAAAAAAATTTTGGAAGAAATTACGTAATGTAAATTTCGAATTGCGACTGTCTCGCGATGTATTAGAAAATCGCCTGAACAATACTATTCTTTCTTCAGGGCTCAACTTTACAATCTCGAATCATCTCCATCGGTTATTCTGTACATTTTTGGGTATTCTGTAAAATTCGGTGCATTTAAATGTTGCGTCGTGGATAAACATTTGCAGTCTAGTGACGAAATTTTCGGAGGATTCTTTGGATTCTTTACCACTTTTTTTAATTAGCTCAGTTAACTGAATTCATCGAATTAACGTTGACTTTAGGACCGTAAAAAAACAAAAAAGATTCCAGATCCCACTTCACTGACATCAGTTTCTTTATTTCTAATTTGATTTAGTTGATTTTTGAGAAAATAATATATTGTTACGTTTGAAGGTAGTTCTTTATAGTTTTCGAAGAATTAAAATTTTTTAATGGTCGAATAATTTTGAAAATCAACAAAAAAAAGAACCGAGTACCTTTTTCTCTAGTGACGTAAGAGATTCTTTCACGTTTAATACAGCGAGTTTTAATACGCTAGAAACGAACTGTAAAAGTAAGATAAGAACAAAGTCTAGTTATTGCACAAATTTTTGAAATTTTCGTACGTAGCTGATATCGTATCAAAAAGACAACAAGTGCCTTTTTTTTTTTTAAAGCAGATAAATCATACTGAGAACGTGGTATTAGCTGTTGCATAAGCTTCTGAAGCACTATGATTGTTTGGTGGTAGTTACATACATCCACAGATTAATCGTAAAAGTTCGCGAATATTTGTAACACTCGGCTCAACTATCAGTAATATTATAGTGAATATTCGACAAGAAATATTTTAAAATATTTCTATAAAAAAATATTTCAAAAAGTTATTATTATATTTAAATACTGATTCAGAATGCAACTAATTATTTCAGAATGGTTTTTGAATATAAACGTATTATTTCAAAAGAAAAACGATGGCTTTACAATAATTTATTGCTGAACAGTAAAAAACAACTGTTTATTATTTTTAATGAATTAAAATAAGAAATATTAATTATAATTTAGTATGAATACTGATTACTTTTTTATAATATAATTATTAATTATTATTGATTATCATTTAAAAAATAATATTATGAGTATTTATGAAATATTTTTTTATAGTGAGTTCTGGATATAAACATTATTTCGAAAAATTACGTTATTTCAGTAAATTATTGCTAATTATTGCTAATTTACAATTGTTACAATTCTTGCTAATCGCTACACAAACAACTATTTATTATTTCAAACAATAAATCAAAATAAAGTTTTTTTTAAATATAATTTAACAACTTTTTAAATAATTATATTTATTGCTATATATTAATTATTATATAAAAAATGATATAAATGTAATTTACGCGTGTTACTTCAAAAGAAATGGTAAAATTTATTTTAGAAGTAAATTTTGTCATTAAATTATTGCCAATCACTAAAAGAAATGAATATCGTACATCCAGCTTCAAATAATTCAATATAAAGTTTTAAATTTCGTTGCAATTAAACACTACCAGGGATCAAAATTAAACAACCAAACTCAATATAAAGTTTTAAATTTCGTTGCAATTAAACACTGCCAGGGATCAAAATGGTGGCTATCCGAGTACAATTCAAGTAATCTCAATATTGCTTGCACGATTCATTCCGAAGGTGGTATTCTTAGAATACAACAAGCCGGTTGTAGAATCAGTCAGTAATTATCGATCATTCATAACAATTGTCCATTGTAAGGGATGGTACATTCATTCCATTAACCCTGAACTGACGAGCCACGATTACAAATAAGCCTTCCCGTAGTAACTTTCTACACGAGACTCTACCGCCTAGATTCTATTGTCGAACTTTCGGTGAAATTTCTGTAGCTTCGATCATTAAATGCAGTAATTCATATTCACAAGAGATCATGCATATTCACAAGAGATACAAAAGAAGGTGAATCGATTACTCGATTCGGTTGTTAAACTTTTCCATTTGCAGATACTCAAATATCATCATTGTTATTGCTTTCGTGTTATTTAATTGCACCGTATCGTTATTTATCTTCGATCAAATAAACACAATAAATGCTTAAAAATAAAGATCAAATCGAAAGCAACTGCGACGTATACTGACGTATCAAATGCTCAATTTTAACATTCGACGAAAATTCTGAATCTTGAAAATTAAGTGGAAAGATAATTGACTTGGAAGATATTAATTATACATTACTCGCGTCATCTAGTTATCTCCAGCCAGTGTAATTCATATCAAGTTAGATTAATATTTAATGAGAAATAAAAGTCTCGTTGATTGTTAATCTCGTACGTGTTTAATTGGAAGTTCCAATTTAATCGGGATTTCTTGTCCCAAATTGCAACATTTTCTCAGTTTTAAGTCTATTTAAATGTAATCCAGGCAAAACAAATGATAAGTTTATTACTTGTTGATGTCATATCGACGAGTTCGAAAGGAAAAGAAAGCGACGAATTATTATATACGGTTCGGTCACTCGTTATGGTCCGCGAGCCAGTTGCCTGGCTATCTAATGCATGATACACGTATTAGATAAAATTTGATGGAACAAATTTAACTTTACAGGCGAAGTTTATTCAACAGAAAGTCGATAGCAATAAAATGTCAAACTATAAATTAGGTCACTTAGTAACTAGCTAGATAGGATGCTTATCAATAAAATTTATTGTAGCGGTAGTACTAGCGAGCAAGTTCCCTGAAACTGTGGAAACTTTGTTTGATAAATTATATGAGAGGGTAAAGCAGAACCTAGAGAAAAGTTATTATTCTGTGCTGATGCTAGTAATAGGAAATGGATCTAGAAAGTTTGTCGAGTCACGTCCGCTTACGGCTTGGGACTGATTCAAACGAGTTGTCTGCGCTCAAACTTAATTTCGTGCAGACGCGTTAAATGGAACGTTTTCCCATAATTGATGATCGATTCTAGATTAGAAGTGGATTTGTATATCTATGTACCGACGATTAATGTAATAATACTGATCTCACGACTATCTATTTTTGCACATAACTTTCGTATATCTGCGTATTTCTTTGGTTAGCGAATTACATCAATCAATTGAAGTGTAGGCTGTTCCATTGTTCGGATCTAAGTAGCGTTAATTCGAAAATTCTGTTATGATCAAGCAAAAGAGGCCAATCGACCTGGAATGACAACAAAGTTATTAACCCTAATCGGGCGTGGCAGCCGTTAGGACTTTTATCAGTATGAAAATGCGGACGAACCGTTGGCTTCTATTATAATATTTTGGATTTACTGAATAACTTCTTCATGCTAATAAAAAAATCTAACGTTTTAAACGATTGTTATAACCGCCTCGCGATTCGATGGAGAATGCTTCGACCACGGTTTTTCGTTTCTTGAACTTATCTTCAACAAAGTTTTTAGGAAAAACAGTCAAACTAACAAGTGTAGTTTGATATAGAAAACTTCGTTTCTGTACGCTACTATTCGACTTTTTTTTTTTAATTTATGTATTTCTTTTGATCCGAAAATCTCCTTTTCACCAGTTGTTTATGATTATTAATGGATATTTTTGCATTTATAAAGAAATATATAATTGCACTTATAAAATGTTATAATGTTACACATACGTATATTATAATAATTAATATTGATATTAAATTAATAATTATATTATTATTAAATAATAATTATTAATTATTATATATTTATTATTATTATATAAATAATAATTACAATAATAATATAATATATAATTATATTATAATTAATAATTAATATATTAATATTAATAAAAATTAATATTGTACGTGCACAATCATTATGATATTATACATAAATTACACATGCAAAAATATTCAGAATTACTTAGATAATAATGATTCATTATAATAATGAGAAGTTCATTATAATAATCAGACTCGTATCGTGGAACTGATGTTACAAAAACTTTCCGAATGAATTGGCTCTACAAAAATGTCTACGATACAATTAGTTCTATTTTATAATAAAATTCGTTGAAATATAATTTCAAGAATATAATTTCAATGAAATTAGTTTTATCTCAATTTTATTTAAAATGATTGAAATATATTGCACAGAAATTAAGGACGCTAATGTTCCCTTTTTATAAGCTCGTCAATTTCCACGCAGGTATCCGTTTCGTTAATTATCTCCGTAAGAGTGTAAATTTCACAGCCTAATTATTGAACTGCGGGCTTTTGTGCGTTAAGAGGAAGTTTTGAAACACAAAATTACGCGGAATGCATAATTACGAGAGAACAGATAAAACATCTGTGCAGTATTTTCCACTTACATTTAATATGATAATATGAAATAACTTTCTATAAAGTTTTAATTACGCTTTTTTTAATTACGTTCACGAAAACATGAATTTGCATAAAGATCCGCGGTTTGTTAGATCAAAATGATGTAAATTCGAGAAAATTGATCATTCAACATGCAAAAGTAATTCCAATATATAGAATAAAGTTTTTTATTTGAAATTAGTTGTATATTAATTATGTTTATTTTCAAGGGAATAGACATTAAACAAATATGTCTTGTTGCTAAAAGTTGACGAACTTTTTAAACTCAATTTTCTCGAAAACGAGGTATCTTATTACATTCTTCATTTATTCATACACGTAGAACAACTTCCTGTTAATTATTCTTTTTCGTCACGTCTGTAATCAATTATATTCTAGTAATATACTCGATAAATTTTCAAACTCGAGTTTCTCGTAAACCAAGCTTCGGATCAAACGATCTTATTCTATTTTTCTTTTACAAAAAAAAAAAAAAAAGTCGTATCAATCACTTCAATTTACTAACTCTCTATTTCCAAAATTCACCTTAAAATTCTTCTTCTTCTTATGATCAATTAAAATCTCGTTGTTAAATGGAACGACAAGTCGCGCAATGCTTGAAAATCCAAAGAAAATGAACTTGCAACGTCCAATTACTAAAATAAGATGTATCTTTGTCCTCAGGAACTGGGCGACACCGACCCCTTAACCTTAGCCCAAGTGCACGAGCACCTGGTACGAAGTCCACCGCCCGCATCGTGGCCCCACACCACGACCTTCCATTTCCCTCATCAAAACCAGAGCTCGTCCGGGAAGAGCGACGTGCTGGCTCACTATAAAAGTCCGTCGAAGGCGACCTCGTGTCGTGGCAACGATCACGAGCTGTCCAGAAGCGAGCCATCCACGGATATCAGAGGTGCGAGCCCAAAAGACTAGACAATCGTATTTCTCCCATTTTATCGAAACGACGCTTTCTTCGTGCACACGTACACGCGCGAGTTTATGCATTATGTATCGTACATACTCGACTGGATATGTCTTTTCTCTGTCTTTTCTTTTTTTTTTTTTTTTTTAGCTAGGCACTTGTTTGCGTGTTTCACGTACATAAGTTATGGTAACGTAAGCTTGATGCTTGTCACTATTGTTGGGGGTCCGAACTTGGGGGCTTTAATGAATATTTGTTTCTTATTTATCGATCGTTCTTGCGGTTATTCGCCTAGCGAAGTTCGAGCGAATTGATTTCCTTTTTTCTTTTCTTTTTGACCGGTTAGGGAATCGAAACGAGCAGTTATCTATCTGTTATTTTTTTAGAGAAATTCTGCTTGAAACCTGTGTGCTACATCGGAGAAAATATTTGTTCCTCGCGCAGATTTCTGGGAAAGAATAAAATTTTTTCATTTGACCTTTGAGCGTGCAGATAATTTTAAGTGTTTGCCCTTTATATTCTGACGATATTGAAAATTTATATCATTTTAATGTGACAACAATTCCTCGTGGTACTCAAAAAGACATAAATTCGTGAATAACTGCGAAAGTGTTTGAAACATTCTTATTTTATACATCTTATCACTTATCACGTAATCCAAAATAATCTATGCGAATCTCTATTTTTCGAATATTACATTATCAAAACAAAATGTCTGTTAGCAACTAGAAACTCGTCTGCTGCTAACAGACATTCTATTCTGGTAATATAACATTCGAATAATAAAATATTCGAGAGGGGAAGTTTCATTGTATGTACATGAAATTATTAGAAAATTTATTTTTCTTTCTCCTACGTTTACAATATGTCAAACGTCATCTAATGATGTAAAAGATTGATAAAAATGTCATAGTTAAGTTAATATCGGGCTAAAATAATTTATCTATTTATATATCAGAGGTTCAAAGAGGATAGCATTAAAAAATATGGAGTAAATGTATCGAAAAGTATATATTCAAAGATGGATTCTTAATTTGTTACGTGCTCCTCTATTATATCCATTATTAAATAATTATATTGTACATTATTAAATAACGGATATGATAAACTATTTGTATCGATTTATTAAATAAATCATAGTCATGATCCTCGATTACAATTGAATTAATATCAATCGTGATTAGTAATGAAATCATATACAATTTATAGATGAAATTAATATCATTTATATCCATTGTTAAATAAATTACAATCACAACCCTCAATTATAATTTAATTAATTATTAATTGTGTCTGCTCAAGGGATGGAAGTTCTGTTTTCAAGAAAATCAAGTTACAGATTTTGTTAATCACGCTAGAATTTAACTAATTCTGGACTGATCGGGTGTAAATAATGAACAGAAGATTATTCTATCTGTGAAAATAAGTTCTTTCACAAGACGTTAGAAATTTATCAAGTATACGTTTATTAAACGTATATAAAATTCTTAATTAAACATTTCCATACTCTACATTCTTGAAAATAAGACTTTGAATGAAAACATGTCATTCTACATTTTTACAGACAGAGCAATCTCCTGTACATTGTTAAATCTTGTTCAGTATAGAATTAGCCAAGTTCAGGTGTACCCTATACAAATTTTTAAACTCAAGCTTCCCGAAAAACGGAGCCTCGAAATAAAAAAAAAATTTTATTCTTTCTTTCCTATTCTACACAGAACGTGGAACACCTTGTATATGTAATTTGAGATTAATTCTATAAGTATAGAAGCGTATATATATATAGCATGTGTAATATAAATATATAGTATATAGTAATATGTATATACAGTATATATATATATATATATATATATATATATACTATCGTATATATAGAAATATAGAAACAAATAGTATACTATATATATAATATATAATATAATATAATATAATATAATATATACTATAATATATATAGTGTATATTATACTATAGTATATATAGAAATATAGAAGCAAATCATATATATATAGTATACTATAATATATATATATATATAGTGTATATAGTACTATGGTATATATAGAAATATAGAAGCAAATCATATATATCTAGTATACTGTAATATACACACACTATATGATATATACTATATATATATATATATATATATATATATATATATATATATATTGTATATAGTACTATATATACTGTGTACACTATAATATAATAGTATATATATATATATATATATATTATATGTGTATAGTGTACATATTATATTATAGTGTATGTATATTGTATAGTGTATATATATACATATATATATTATGTATATGTGTGTATATATATATATATATATATATATATAATGAACACACGTGATACAGAAATTTTAAATTCCAATTTATTCACAAGTGGTCACTTGCCGCATCATTCGACATGCTTCTATAACGATGCAAGGTATAGTTACATCAATCAGTGTCACGGCTTGACATAATCTTACTATAGCGTTCCCAGGTGCTGTATGCGTTATTACATCGCCGTTTCCTACAGATCCTTCGGCCCGTGAATAAATTAGAATAAATAATTAGACAATTGCCGATACGATCGGCCAACAATTCCGGATCCACACGGAACGAACGTAAATCCTTGGAGAACACGCGGCCACAAGATCGCAACACAAACGCGGAAACCCACGGAACACGCAGGCACCCTCCTCCTCAGGGCATTAGCGAATTCATATATTCGTGGTTGGACACTTATCTCGCGACCTTGGTGCCCGCAACGTACAGACACGATCGATTTCACCTTATTTTTAACCAGCATAAATTAATGGTTCGTGACATGGTGGGCGTGCCGTGACTTTCGATCGACTCTTCACCGACTTTCCGCCAGTGGAAAATATTCCCGCATCCGGTGGCGCATTTCCACCTCGAGTATAACACTCTCTGAACTGTTCCCCACCTTCGGGCATACGTTTATCTCAATATCTTACATTTCGTGAACGTCGCATTTTGTTCGCCGAGTTCGCGAACGTGTGAGACTGTATATATACGTTTTCGCAACAGTGTTGGATTTGTTTCGTACACGCCCCCGCTCAATCCTTTTAAGTACCTCAGCGGTGATGTATCAGTTTCGCGGATTTTTCGAGCCTTTCTTTCACAATTGATCATGAGTTTTAGTTTATAGACGATTTTTTTTTTTTTTTTTTTATAAAAGATAAGGCATTTTATTTTCCTGGAATTATTTAAATATTGTTTGAAACATTTCTCATACTATTACCCTCGAAAAATTTTCGATCAGACACTCGAACATATTTAAAAATATTGATAACTTTAAACTAAATTTATAAAATGTTGTCACGCTTATTTGAAATACATGGAAAACCAGAATTAGTAAGAACAATTGAATTCTTACACGAGAGGTTTCGTTTTCAAATACTTTCGAGTACTCGCGTTTGATTGAAAACTTTTTGCCAGAGGCAGCATTAGAAATAAAGAAGACTGTCTCGTTACTAAATATCAAAGTGTCATGTCAGGATTTAATAATAAACAGATACAGAATATAGAGGAAAATTTCGTGACAAGATAAAAATTGATGGACTTTCTGACAGTGCAGCATCGTCGTTATAATACTTTCAGTTATTTCTTTTCTTGTCGAATTGCTGTTGGTGAAAAACGCGCGTGACTGATCGCAATCAGTCCAAACTTGTCGCATTGCTGTCGCGTATTTTTTTATGCCGTCGTTTCGTGGCTTGTATGCACGCAAGTGAAACATCGCATTCTTTTTTTTTTTTATCTAGGCCAGTGACCCCGGCTCGCTTGCTACACTTTAACGTTTCAGAACAAGTTCACGCAAGCAACAGAATTAATTCGCAAAGAGGGGGACAAATCAACCTACGCACCTTTTTTTCAACTTAATCTCTCAAGTTCTGTATTTTACATTTAAACTAAATTGATCGGTTTAGGTTAAAATAATTTAATAATGTCGAGATTTAATGACATTTGCTGTAAGAAATTATTAAGAATTATTTGAGAAATTATTACTAAAATTATTAACGTAGTGTTACTGTATTATACGTAATGTATATATTTAGAGAAATTATTTGAGAAATTATTACTAAAATTATTAACGTAGTGTTACTGTATTATACGTAGTGTATACGTGGTGTGTATATTTAACGTAGTGTTACTGTAGTAATTTGTTTTTACGTAACATGGACATTTATAAATTCGCCGATCACGTAAAGACAAGAATATTGCTTCAAAAGTTTCTGATACACGAAAAGTACACCTGTAATTATGCAGCTTGCGATGCATCGTTGCATGTGCATGCAAAACGTATGCGCCCGCACGTATGCAACCGTCTGTGTAACATGCATTCAGCTGCGCTTATGCATGTCACGTTATGTTGAAATTCGATTCGTTTAACACATAGTTTCCACAACGTACAATTCTGAAATCATTTGATGCTAGAACTACAGCTAAAATAAAACTTATACCAGCGAAATTGAAGCGGAAGAAGGGAAAATTACGAATTATAGTATTTTGATTATTCCGTTTAACAGAATAAAATTTCGAATTAAAGCTACTTCTGAAAGATACTTCTTACAGAAAACGACCTGTTACATCGACTGACAAGGTTGTATTTAAAAAACATACCAAATTACTGCCTTCTCGAAACAGAAAAAAAAAAATGCATTTGAGACATTTTCTTAAATGACGAATAGTTTCCAAGATAATTGCATTTATAGGTTAAAAAGACACCCTGTATACGAATAATAAAAACTAAAGCTCCATTTTTAGAATCAGGTCTGAATCAGGGGACTTTAGAACCTTCAATAAGAATCTCCTGCTTCCCATTTTTCTATGAAACTCCGAACGAATCGTAGAAACGTAGAGGAACAAACATAACAGGGTGTCCATAAAGTCTCTTTGCAATTTCAAAAATTTATTACAAAGGCAAATGAAAAGATAGATAAGTGGAAATTATTACAAAATGAGACGCATATATTTAAGTCTTTTTTTCCTCATTTAATACACCTCTATATGAGCATCATTAGTTGCACGAAGCACATCAAGACGGTACTCGATTTCTTACACGATCGATGTTTCCCTCAGATGTTGTTGGTCGTCCACTTCCTTTATTGAACACTGTCCCTGTCTCCATAAATTTCTTGTACCATGCAGAAATTGATGGAAGTGACGGTGGATCTCTTCCATACCTAGTTCTGAAGTTTCGCTGAGTCTCCAGATCCGATTTGATTTCAATAAACCATGATACACGCTGTGCCTTCTCTTGAGGAGTAGCCATTTTGTAAGGGGTTCATTTAACAGTATCTTATTTATCAACGGAATACCTCAAATGCAATGTGATGAAAGCCTTGATAACCACTGAGTACATAGAACAATTCTGATGAAGATATCTTATCAATTGCCTTTGTAATAAATTTTTGAAATTATAAAGCGACTTTATGGGGTTATGTCAAAGATATGTGTATCGAACAAAAGTACTCACATGGGGTTATGTCAAAGATATGTGTACCGAACAAAAGTACGAGACATCACTAATCTAAAGCAGAGGATCATTGATGCCATTGCCACCATTGATGAGCGAACATGGCAAAAAATCGAGTACCGTCTTGATGTACTTCGTGCAACTAATGGTGCCCATATAGAAGTGTATTTAAACGAGGCAAAAAGAAAAAAACTTAAACATACACGTCTCATTTTGTAATAACTTCCACTTATCTGTCTCTTCATTTGCCTTTGTAATAAATTTTTGAAATTGCAACGAGACTTTATGGACACCCTGTGTTGAATGACACACTCGCGTCGACGAAGACCACATTGGAATTTCTGTTGGAATTTTTTTTCAGATCGCCACTCGCACACATTCTCGTTGTTGCATCCAACGCCGATTCGTTCACTGTCGGATGTTCGACGGCTTCACAGATCGGCAGACGACAGCGTGCAACTGATGTCGAGCGAATAAAACGCGAACGTGCTCCGATCCGCGACCGGATCGTGATGGCTTCCTCGCATTCAGAACACGAAACGTGCTTTGTCGATGATAAAACGTCTGCTGAAAGTTCTTCCCGCATTCTTTCGGAAGAGCGTGTCCATCAGATTGAAAGGACACTCGGATGCTCCTCTACGGCGAGTTCACGCACGATCGAGGTACACACACGAGAACGATTCCTGGAATCGCAAGTCTCAAGACGGAGTGATTCTCCGATCCTCTATAAAATATTGTCGCACAGATTTCGGTTTGGCAACGACGCCAAACTTTTCTTGGAACGAATTTTGAACTTTTTTGTGTCGTACGAGGACACTCGGTTGTGTTTAACGGAAGATGCATTTGTAGTTGTGTACTCTGTCTCGGAGGAAACGGAAATATCCTCGAGTTGCGAAATTGACAACGCCAAGGTGAGAAATCGCGGTGAAAGTATTTCACACTGTTTTATTCGTTTTGATATATTGGACGAGAACTAGCGATCGAAGTGAACATGCGCTGTGATAAACGCACAGGGGCGTTTGACATGCAATCAGTGCACCACAGTTTTTAAACAGTTCGCACGCAACGTTTAACATTAAAACGGTTAGTCAGATGATACAACGTTTAAAAAAACGAAAAAAAAAAAAAAAAAATAACGACGTCTGTTTCCACGTGAAAGTTTCAAAGGTGCAGCATCTATTTTTTAAGCAAATTAAACGAGAATATTTATTCGAATCATTTACGAACCGAGGGTCTCGCTTTTTTCTGCAAGTTTATCCACACGTTCCAAGGAATCGCGAAGTGAAGTTCTTTGTTACACTCGCTTGTCGCTGTAGATACTCGTGAAATTGTCGATTATTCAAGGATTATTCGTCGTAGTTAAAAATCAGGGAAATTATACGCTGCCAAAAAATTTAGAAACATTCTTACTCGATACTCAAAATTGTAAGTATTTTTAAAAGTCAATTTGGAAGGCGATATATATATATCTGAATTTCAGAAATTTTCGTTCTTTCTAAAAAATTTACCTTGAGCATCGTAATGTCGAGGAGTGAGTGTAATTCAGAAAATTCATCAGAGAATCGAGCTCTATATTAATTGCAAGTTATTCCGATGCATTTACCTATCGAGCCTAGCGTGTTTGAACGATCGCGCGGTTCAACAATCGATCTTAATGTTACGACACAAATAGAAAGGCCTATGGTTTGATCAAAGACGACTATCTTTATTATCACTCGAGTCGTGCAATTATAACGGCGTTTTTTGGTTTCCGCTGCGCGCGTGTTTCAAGTCAATTCGTACGTACAAATACGTGTGCCCGTTTCTAATATGTTTCGATCACGCAGCCACGAGGAACAGGAATACAGTTTTAATTGTTGCAATAATTGCAATAGGTCGCGATTAGTGTTCAGTTCGTATTTGAGTAATAATAGAAAAAATTATATTTATATTTGGGATAATTTTCCATTAACAGTGCAAAAAACGATAGATATACAAGATCTGGGCGAACTTTATTTTGAAATGAAGATAAGAATTTCGATTGATATTATTTTCGGTATTATTGCTACTTGAAACTAAAATGCAAGTAACAACAACTTAGTTTGGAGTATTAATTATTTTAAGAAAAATAAAAGTAATTTCTTTGTTTCAATTCAAATCGCACAAAAATGTAATTTTTAAAATAATATAAGTAACCAAATCGAACATCATTGTATTGTCAGCAAGAGTGATCATAATGAGACCAACAATGAGATGTGAAAATTGTTTCATTATTACAAATTCGATTTTGTTTCATTACCTCAAATTTTGCATTTCAAGTAAATTACTACGTTCCCCGACATACAAGCGAGGTTCCATTGTATTATTTAATTCTAACTTAAGTTTAACTGTGGATGATATTTCGTATGATCGCTCGAATTTAAGAACATTGCATACTTCTGCTCGAAATATCATTTCGCGGAGATCAACAACAGTATATTGTTATTACGTATAATTGAACAGTTTCTTTTACGATTGCTTTAACTGCATCGAGAAGAGTTACCGAGCTTACATTGTTGCTGTTATTGTTAATTAGTCTATGCATTAATCTGCACAAATTATTTTTTATTAATAGCGCGTATATTTTCGACGTTAGCGAGAAATGAAGAATGCAGCATGTGAACTTCTTTTAGCGAATATGTATACTTATTAACAGATACATACGTACGTGAAAAGAATGCAGATCGTTCCCACGTAAAAAGAAACACCTATTGTATTTTGCGCTAACGACGCGCCAGATGTGTAGGCCTGATGGTAAAAATAACAAACGTAGCGCGTAATCATAGATTCGAAACCTTTTTTTACGCAAATGTAAGAATAGAGGACGCGCCATCGATGTTTCGAACGATTAACGTGTGTCGTCCAATGATAATACACCCTTTAAAGTCGAGAGTTTATTTTTTTAAAGTTGCTGTATCATTTCACACGAGCACAAATGCCAACGCGAATAACAGATAATTGTTAGAGACTACTTTCGACTTTCAACGCATATAACTTATGCGTTTTCTCCATATGTTTGTTTTGAAGTTGGAACGACAGTCTGAAGAATTTCGACGAGCAATCCTATTTTATACGTTTAACACATAGCGTCGTATGTTGAAAATGAAATGAGTTTCGCTCGTTCTAACTGCTGTTGGTTGCGAAAAATTTCGACTAGGATCGCAAACGGCCAGTGGACAATTAATTCTGCTACGTCCTTCGGGTCATTTTCGACTCGATCGATTTTTCTATTAAAGAAGAAAAAAGAAAAAAAAAAAGGAAAAATATTTTAAGTTCGCGAGAGAAAGACGAAGGAACCGTTGTTTTTTGTTCGTTGAAACGAGAACGAAATTGGAATGTATAATTCAGCGTGCACGATAGGGTTAAAGTCGTAGCGAGTGAAGTTTTAGCAGGGTTTGTATGAAAACTTTCAAAACGGTAGCATGTAAGAATGAAGAAAATGATCTAGAAAGTTATTGCGATTATATTATTGTAACTATAGTGTCCAATTGACTTGGCCATTGAGAATTGAGATTATTTCTATCAATATATGCGATATTAGATACACTGTACACATGTGTATTAGTGGTGTCGGGCAATTTTGTCTTCGCCCGGGCCAAAACGTGGAAAAATATGAAAAATGAAAAAAAAAACCAGTAGAGAGACATATGATATAATCTAGTCGAATAAACGTATATACCGAGGACCGTGTTGTCACTTTTAAGCGAATATTAAATGAATAATTGTTTGGGTAATTATTCAAGTGTTGAATAATTCAGTCGTGGAGAGATTAGGGTGTGAATTACTATATTAACTAAGCGAGCTGAGGTTACTTTTACCAGGAAGCGATGTTGAATGTTGCAATAAACCCTCGATTTCAACGGAACCTTTCTATCTAAATTGACTTTCAACTTAACGAATTCTAACTTTATTATCATTTTTTATATCTCCGACAGTGACATCGTGTTTCTTCAATTCTTAGATATGCTTAATGACCGTTACTCGAATTAATTCTCAAAATCAAGGGTTTACTGTATTTACATACACGATGAAACTTTACGTACGTTCGCTTTGTTTTTAAATTTTTTAATTTAACGAACACTGTCCGCCAGAGATACGCTACAAGTTGTACTTTCGCATCTTTCGATTGCGTTTTCGTGTGCGATTAATTGAAAGCTACAAGGCACGGTTTTCATAAGACGTATTGATAATCAACTTTAAATTATGAAGAAAAAATCTAAATATATGTTACTCGTTAATGAAAAAAGAAGAACACAAAAGATAATAACTTTATTTTAATATGATTGTAAAATATTTATTTAAATCTTCTGCCGCTGTTGTCATTTGTTAATCGATTTGTCAAATTTTATGCTATTCGGGTAATTATTAGAGTGAATCTTTGTTCGTTTGAATTTTTATCGAAATAAAAGTTTGATTCTTTATAATTCTGTGTTCATACGTAATTTTCCTAAGTTTATTGAAATACATATACATCCCCAAATATTTATTTTATCGGATGTGTGTGATACACTGACTATTAATCAGTGATAATATATCGGGCTCAAGTTATAAAAAATTTATTTTATTGCCATATGTAAATAGAATTCTAATTCGTAAATAGAAAATAATCTTAAAGATTAAAAATATATTTAAAAGTCACAACTCACAATTTTTTACAACAGGATTCATGTTTCTTAATTCTTAATGGGTGGAATTTTCTATTGCATTTCTTACATGCAACAAGCTGAGCTTGATGTTCTTCCCAATTCACTTGAAAATAATCAAATTCTAAAACAAAAGAAAAATGTTTATTTCTATATATATTATATTTAATATTAATATCAGATTAGATAGTAAATTAAATTATCAATGTCAAGAACATTGCAACATACCTGCAGGAATTTCTTCTTTTGTAGAAGTAACAGACATGATCAATGAATCATTAGATGTGATTGAGGATTTCTTAGAAATATTAGAAGATATTATTTTATTATTGTCACAAAGTGGTGATCTAGGTATTTCATGTGTAGGTTGCATAGGATTAAAATCATTATCATTATTCTAAAAAAATTAAAAAACCATGTTCAATAATATAATCTTAACAATATATCTTAATTGAGTATAATACTGTTTATAATTTATCTTTATCCATTTTATAGTAATCTATCTTTTTATGTTCAGATGATTTTATGATTTTATTGTTTTATTTGATTTAATCAAATTTATATAATGTAATATAATTTAATATATTTATTATATAATTTAATAAATTCTATAGATCAATTAAAAAGAAAGAATAAAAAATATTATTTACTTGATTAAGGCAAATTTTTGTATTACATTTGCAGTTCTGTCCACATGGAATATTTCTTTTTAAACATCTACACCTTTTCGTAGAACATTTTGTTTTACAAGAACAATGTGGTATTATGTTTATATCTTTCTTTTGTACACTTTGAGTTTGTGAGCTGTTTAGTACTGTCTCATTACACTTCTCAATATCATTAGGATGTGGTGGACTTGTTTTCATAAACTTTTGATCTCCTAAACATCTCCTTAAATGTTTATTTTCAATTGTAAGCAATTTTACTTCTTCCTCTAAGCGTGCTATTTCCACCATAGTATCAATTTTAGTGTCAGTTTGAGTTCCAGCATTCTTCCTTTTTCTAAAAAAGAAACAATTTTACTCAGTCAAATTTTACAAGAGAAAAAAAAAATAAAAAATCCTTACATTTTGCTTCAACAATCTAGCATGCCTTACATTTATTCTTATGTACAGATAAAAAACAAAAAACTGTTAAGTCATATATAAAATACTTCAGTTTCAATCAAAATTAACAAATATTGTAAACATATAAAGGTTAAATCATATTGAAATATAAATTTGAAATATTCCAAGGAAAATAAAGATAAGGAATTACTTACATTTTGCGAAGCACGCCCGACATTTTAAAAAATTCAAAATATTGAAGTTATTTAAAAATATACTAATTCTCACGATTTACGTCTTCACATACTGACAGTTTAGACAGTTTAAATTTGAACATGAACGTACTGTGCAGAGACGAAAAGAAAGAACCAGAAAGGATCGCGGTTCTGATTGGTTGTTAAATTCAATACAATGTTAAATATAAGGATTTGACCTGAAATGTCATATAAACAAACTTGAGTGTAGTACTATACTCGTATGAATATACTTCGTTTGTGCATAAATATAAAAAGTAGTCTGTGTATAAATATAAATATAAAAAATATCCTCAACCAATGCTAGTTAATACTTCCACAGACGAGGTACTACCATTGACTAATCAATGATAGATCAAACCACTAGTGTTCAATTTCTCGCAAACTACAATAAATATTGGAAACAAACTTATTTGTGAATGTAATCAATAGCATCATCTTTGAAATATAAACTTAATAAATGCAAATTATTGGTGCAAAATTAATTATTTATTTTAATATGAATAAAACGCTTAGTTCCTCCATTTTGCGATGCTAGTGTTTCCGATTCCATAAAGCAGTCGAACTTTTATTTACAAAAAAAGGTATTTTAGGGAATTGAATATTAAACTTTTATAATTGGATCTTCATAATTAAATCGTCATTTTTCTTCTCATACCACATTTGAACCGTAAAATGCAGAAATAAATATTTTTAAAATTAATTAGTACCACTAACCTACTAACAGATGGCGCAACTATGTCAAAACCAAAAAAATCAATTGATTACGTTTGTGAAAAATAGTAGTTACTTTGTGCTATCTTGTTGATAGTTTGTAATTTGTCTAATATTATATGTATAGTATAAGGAAATTGTTCATATTTTAAGACAAATGTAGCAATATTAAATTATAAAAATTTGTTTTATAAAATAGCTATGTTTGAACTATTACGAGAAGAATACAACGTAAGTAATTAATTTTGAGATTATGTAGAGTATTTTAATTTGCCAGTTTTACTGATATTTCAATTTCCTTTTCTAGGATTATTTGCAACAGTGTTTCATAATGTCAGATGTCAAAACATTTCAAAAGAAATGTGCTGAACGATGTAAAAGTGATAATGATAGGAAAGCTACAATTGATCATGCACTGAGAGATACTCTTCTTGTAATTTTATTTAAAAATGCATCGAGTAATGTGCATCTACTTGAAATTTACATTGCATTTGCATTTTGCATTGAATTATTCAGAAAAGATTTAGCAACTGCAAGTATGCCTGTGATGTTACTTGCTGATATATTTGATTCTATGACAGTTGATACAAGTAAACAATTGTTTGTCTTCGTTGAGAACAATGTGGTGGTGTGGAAAGAAGATTTATTCTTTAGAGCTTGTAAGAACAATTTATTAAGGATGTGCAATGATTTACTTAGAAGATTATCTAGATCGCAACAAACTATGTTTTCTGAAAGAATTCTATTATTTTTGGCCAAATTTTTTCCTTTCTCTGAGAGGTCTGGTCTTAATATTGTTAGTGAATTCAATGAAAAATCATACAGAATTTGGCTGTGAAAAATCAGAAGGAGATGATTTGGAGCAAATAACTAAGGATGATGATAAATTATAAGCTAAAGTGCCAATTGATTATAATTTGTACAGAAAATTTTGGGCACTTCAAGATTTCGTTAGAATTCGCAATCATATATACCTGAAAGTGCACTGGAAGGTATTTTTTTCAACAATATAAGTATAAATAATTGTAAAGTTAAAGTATAAGTATAAGTAATTGTTAAAGTATAAATTATTGTATTCTTTTATTATTGTATACTTGCATTTATATATTTTTTTTATCATAAATTAATTTCATATTTTTTTGTTTAGCATGCTTCAAGTGTGTTGTCAGCATTTTCATCTTTTAAATTGGAAGAACAACGTAATTATCCTTCAACGTGTGTTAAAGCAGACACAATCGGTTATAAATTATTATAAAATTAAAAACCGAAGAGATTTCGTCACCAGAAGTGAACAAATTTAATGAAGATGTTCTGAAACAAGAAAGTGAATAAACTGAAGTCGAAAATACGGATACGAAAAGACGAAAATGAAAGAAAGTGATACCTGAAATGGTGGTGAAATTATTAGAAATTCTGCAAATGATTGGAAGAAATTAACAACCAAGTTTGGTTACACGAGTGAGGAGGTAAAGATTAATTTTATAATACGTAAATCTAACCTAATGAAAAAAAAGGAAAGGTTACTAACTATAATCTTTACATTTGTTAGATTACGTTTTTCCAAGGGAAATCAACACTGTACGAACAATGTAAAAATATGCTAGAAGTTTGGGCGGAAGAAGATATAGGCGCATGCATGGAGAATTTAGTATATATCCTAGGTTTAAAATTCACGGAAGCGTTAGCTATTTTAAAATCTTAATTATTTCGTAAAAGAAATATAAAATATGAAAGAAATATGAATGTACTTTTTATTTCAGTAATCTATGTTAAATCTTAACTGTATATTGTATAGTATATGTTGTATATATGAAATAAAATTTATAATTTTTTTAATAATCTTTTTCTATGAATCTCAATCTTAACTTCCATAGTAAATTATCTTCAATAGTACCTTATGTTTCAACAATAATAGTTGCTATTAAACAAAAATAACTAAAATATTAATTAAAAAATATATAAATATTGCTCTTACTTTTATGATAATATTTCAGCAGCTATGTAGAGTAGCAGAAGTAGAATAATTATAAATATTGTTAACATTTAGACTAGCTTAAAATAGGAAGCCTCCAAAGCTTTGTATGGTGAAAATCGGTATGTTCCTACTTATATAAGTATTTTATACATTTTTTTTTTTAAATAAGAAATGATTTTGTTAGTTTAGAATGGCAATACATCCTATGATACTCGAATAATCGATATTTCTCACGATCGATTTTTAAACGGGAAGAATGGCGGAAGGAAACACATCTCGTCTGTAATAAAGAAAGTATTATCCAAAAAAATCATTCAGAAGAGTATCATTCAGAAGTTCTGAGATAAAAATTTAAATATCTGTTAGATTTGTGTTTGTGTTTTGTATTTTTAAAATAAAATGTGCATTTTTGGCTTTAAGTCAAGGTAAAATTTAACCAAATACTTATCACATATAATTTTCAACAATTAAAGAAATAATAGCATATAAAGATTGAAATAGAACATACAATGTTATTTAAAAGTTATTTATAATTCTATACATAAATGTAATTTCAATTAAATAATTCTACAAACATCAATTCTACAAATATTGTGATCTTGTAATATAACTATATATACACATATATGCATTTACTTCTATTATAACATTTTCTACTTATTTGTTGATTCTTTAATTTCGTAATTCTTAACAATTCTAATGCTAAATTCAAATAATTTATTAAAAATGTATGTATTTAATGGTTAAAATATACATAATATAATAAAATTTCTGATGTCGTAATTTAAAGTATTGACAATTTTTTATCAAGTTTGATTATTTTCATTCCTTTTTAAGGACTTCTCATGAATTTTGTGTATTAGATCAGAATTTTTTATTTTTTATTTTTTATTCTAGGTTATCATTTCGTGCGAAACGCGCAATTGCAGCGCCCCAACGGTGAAATATGGAATATACTTCCTACGATTATCGAAATAATCGATATATCTCACGATCGATTTTTAAGTGGCAAACATTGCACGCCTCATCTGTAAAGAAGAAAACGTTATCCAGAAAAAACATCTCAGAAAGTATCTTCCAGCAGTTCTCAGGTAAAAATATAAATCAATAACTACTAGATTTGTGTTTGTGTTGTGAATTTTTGAATTAAAACGTACATTTTCAATTCAAACTGAAATTGAATCTTTTGGCTTCAATTCATCGAGATTTGGCCGATTACCGATAAAGTGTATAATTTTTATTCCCTTAGAGTAAAGGATTAAAGTACCCAAATGATTATTACATATGATTTTCAACATTAAAGAAATAATAGCATATGAGCATTTAAATAGAAGACATTATGCTTAAAGATATTCATAATTTTATCCCAAAATTTAATTTCAGTTCTACCCAGTACAAATATTGTAACCTTGTAATTGACTAACTGCTATATATATGTATATATTATATGCTTTTATACATACACTTCTATTATAATATTTTCTACTTATTTGTTGACTTTTCAATCTCGTACTGCGTAATTCTTGACAATTCTGATAAAATACTAAATTCAATAATAATTTGTTAAGAATGTACGTGTTTAATGGTTAAAATAATAATTTTACTGCGTAATATAATAAAATTTTTCATTTTTCAAATAAAGTAAGGCGTATAAAGGAAGGCCTTGAAGCTTGAAATTCAAAACAACACAATTATTGTGCCTGTCGGACAGGTTCACTCCATCCCCTACCATTTTCTCAATTGTGTGACGAGACGTGTCGCGGAGAGCCATTCGGTTGTCGAATTTCGCAACAGCAACACGTATTACGTCGTATTAGGTTCGTAACTTTTTCTAATCTATCGGTGGCGTCCCTTCGATGGCGTCGCTTGTTCGACACTACTTTACTTCCATTTATACCTCAATGATAGTATCATTTAATTAATACGTGTGTGTTTGATGATTCATTGAGCATTGAACGAAAGAAATCAAGTAAGATTTCGAATCTTTTTATGCTGATTTTTCTTCGATCATCGATTTCACTCTTACAATTACCGATATCTTGACTCGTACACTTTTTTGATAGAATTTGAAGTTGATTATCGTTTTCCCTTTACAAATTTGTTATCATTTGACATATTTGTTCTAACTTTTGGTTTCTTTTTGTACAGATTATTCCTTGGTTGCAAAGATAGCATAGAATGTATAGACGCCACGATCATTAATGAACAATCTGATGAATTTTCATGGAAAGTTGGTAACATTTTATTCATCCTAAATTACATTTGCTATATAATTTATATGTATTTGAAATACAATTCACAATACGTAATTTCGTAATTATATGGGATAGAAGAATGAAAATGGAAAAGATTAAATCAATTGATATTTTATTTCTAATATGGAGATTGTAATAACTCAATGGTATATACATTCAAATGGATTCTTATATTAGATTATTAAATTAAAAATTTACGTACTTTACTGTACTATATTTTGCTACAATATATTTTTTCCAAATGCTGATGGCCAATTAAACGGTTCAGAACAAGATTTAACACGTGTATGATTTTCTAAATATGTTTAGCCGTGAAATTTTGATTTGTGCAAA